CGTCAGGCTCAATATTTGATCATTTAGGCCCAACTACACCACCAACCATGATACCTAATTATGGTCAAAGTGGAACATTAGAAAGAAATGGTGGATCAAGATTGGTTTCCCCAGAGAAAGAACTATTTCTATTTCCCATGAATCTCAGTTCATGCAAGTCTAAGTCCAACCTTAATGAAGGATTGGATGGAAACCAATCTGACTCGGGCAATTCCCCATCCAGGAATTTGTCCAGTGAATCTAATCACATTCGGTCTTTTCCTGCAACCATTCAAAATAGAAACAATCAGTATCCACCTCCCAAGGTAAGGTTTATGACATCATTCATATTTTTTATGTGACTATGATGAGTACATGAACTTTTGCCATACTGAATAAAGGTTCATTGCTCCTTGTGTGTATTTATGTGTGTAAAGGAAATCTCACTGTATATGCATAACCTACAAATGCAGATGAATCAATTTGTTGGGGTTGATACCACTCCTTCAGGATCATTGCCTATAGAAAAGCACAATCATCTAGAGCTCCCTTCAAACCAAAGTTCATTTTACAACAGCACACCAAGGGCCCCAGAGGAATATAAAGTGACTATTCTTAATCCCTCTTACTCCCATTTCTTTTTCTATTTAGGCATCAATATTTATAATAAATTATATTAATATAACAGACTTAAATCATTTGCTTCAGATTTTCTGTGGTTAGGTAGGTTGTATAGCAGATTTTGATATTAATTTCGTATTGGGTTATTTGGAAAAAAAACTTCCGGTGATCTTGAAAATATCAATTTGATTTAAAATGTCATATAAATTTGTATTTTCAAATTGATGGTACTATGCCTACAACTGATGTACTGGTTGATTTCTTACCTTGAATTTTATTTTTTATTTTTTTAAGTATTTGACAAATTCAAGACATGATTGAATTGTTTAGTTTTAAGGCACTTGCATGTAACAACGATGCAAAATGCAAAATTTCTCCATTCACAGTAGATGAAATAAAAAAAGTGCACTTTTATCTTGACGACAAAGTTATGTATGTGGTGCAGATGGTTGGCATGAAGCTGTCACGCCCTTCATCATTGGACAACTCTCTGATTCTACCAGAAAACAAAAGACCACACCAATCATCTATAATTGACAGTCACGGTGTCAGTAGTTTCGATTTAGCCAACGAGTGCTACAGGTAATAATACCTTAATTATAAGGATGTGAATTCAACATGAATATGAATATCCTTAGCTTCTTAACATGACACAAATAGTTATTGTATTCATCAAATTTTTTACTATGAATATTCATCAACTTCATTTTTGTAATAAAAAACATAATTTTAAACTAATAAATAGAAGTAAAATAAATAAGAATGATTATATAATTATAAAAATTGTTTAATTCAAACAAACCAACCAAAACACGACACCAAATATAATATAATATTTTTTTTTGGTTGACACCGTCTTTCTTAGGGATGCCAAATGGGGTAGCACTTCTGAGCTCAATAGCAGAAAATTCAATTCTGAAATTGTGGTGCCTGGTCATGCAAATTTCCCACCATTTGCTACTCCTGAAGTGACTGAAGTAAGTTGCAAGATATTCTGGAAGGTCTAATATTCATTACTCTTTGTTTTTATATGTATATTTATTAATATGTTTGTTTCTTGCTTTTAAAATTTTGTAGGATAGAATGGAGGGCCCATACCAACGTTCAGAGTCAAGTGGACCAAATAGTAGACCTTTCTATAACTTCTTAGAAGTGAAGGACACGGAGAGGGGTACCCCAAATCATGTGGCACGTGAAGCAGGAAAAAGTGGCATTGATCTTACCTTGAAGCTCTGAGTTTGCATTTGTGTTTCCAACAATTTCAGCATGTGAAGAAAAGGGAATGTTTATAATGCATTCCCTTGGATTCTTGAAAACCAAGGAGATGCTACTTCAAATGGGATTTTCAGTTATCTTAATTTCAATCGTTTAGGCTTTTTATGTTTGAGAACTTTAATTTGTATTCTAGTTGCTCTGATATTTATGAAAATTTAACTTTTTCTTACTCTTCTTTTTGGTTGTAACAAGGGTTTGTTTGGTCGAGTAAGAGGAAAGATAAGAAATCTGGAATTATTTGAGAGCAAGTTTCAAAATGAGAAAAAGAGAACCAGCATAGCATCTATAACAAAATGTAACAAGCATTATTGTTACAGGAATAAAACAAATTATTTATCTCCATAAAGTATATAAAACATTATTTGGTAAAATTATCAAAACTACGAAAATATTGTTGAAGAATCCTATAAAAATTCATATCAAATTTCTTTTTTATCTTGAGGTAAATATATAATAAAAAGTTAATATATGTACCAAATAAAAAAAAATAGAAGTTACTATATCCTTTTCAGTTTTACTTAATTATATTTTTAAGATTTCAGTCACAAAGAAAAAATATAAGTAAATCTTGGGTCTGATTTTTTTTAAGAAAAAAAATATGGCAAATAGTTCAACTCAATATATTTAACTTAAAGTTGTTAACCTCAAAATTAAAATAGTAAGAGTGAAGAGACAAACAATTATAGAGATAATTGCAGAAATTGTGCAATTCATAATTCATATCAAACGATTCGATATGATTTTCAATGCAAACGATACAATCGTAAGGCTGATCACGTAGTCGCTGGAATCGCTCAGGAATTAATATTTTTTCAATTCAAGAGTGATCTAACTTAAAAAAAATATATATATCATTTAGCAAGAGTATTTGAGAAGAAAATCTATTTTATTAATTGATTTCTACCAATTTGCCATCTTTGTAAGTAAGAAGTAAGAACATAGTAAAGGAACAAACTTTGGAATTTGGACTTGACCACTTGATTACTTATGACTTGTGAGATATGGATTTTTTTTTTTGTTTCACTAGCTTTTACTTGCTACTTTATTTATCTTATAAAAAAAAATTATTTTACAATATTTAAATCTACTTCTTATTCAATTTTAAAATTATTATTTTATTTTATTGATCTTACTTTTTTTGTTATATTTCATATTCAGAAAAATATGAAATTCATTTGAAATTAACTATAGAGCAAAACTAATTTTATCATGTATAAATATACTTGCTATTTAATTTTCAAATCCTAATTCTAATCTTCTTTATCTCATTTATTTATTATAAAATTACAATGAAATATATTTTAAATCTATGGGGAAGAATATTGTAATAACCAATTAGTGTTACTACCAATCAATTTTATCATTAGATTAATTATGTTGATCCAACGGTTCTATTTATTTCCATTTTTTATGGTTATAATTCTCCATATTTAATAATTTATATTTATTTTTACCTTTGTATGGTTATGATTTTCTATATTTAATGCTTTCACATTAAATATACAGAATCATAACCATACAAAGATGAAAATAAATATAACCGTTAGATCAACATAATCGATCTAATGGTGAAATTGATTAGTAGTAACACTAATTGGTTGTTACAATATCCTACCCCTAAATCTATTTGGCTAAAAAATAAAACTTATTATATTATATTTAAATTTAATTTATATCTAGTTTTTAAATTCTAAATTTGTTCTTATTATCTTATTTGTTTTTAGGGGAAGGATATTGTAAGTTGTAACAGCCCATTAGTGTTACTACCAATATTACTACCAATCAATTTCACCGTTAGATCGATTATGTTGATCTAACAGTTATATTTATTTCTATCTTTGTATGGTTATGTTTCCTCATACTTAATATTTTATATTTATTTTCACCTTTGTATGGTTATGATTTCTCATATTTAATGCTCTCACATTAAATATGGAGAATCATAACCATACAAAGATAGAAATAAATATAACTGTTGGATCAACATAATCGATCTAACAGTGAAATTGATTGGTAGTAACATTAGTAGTAATATTAATTGGTTATTACAATATTCTACTCCTTATTTTTATATATTTATAATTCAAAAATTAAATCTCTCTGAGATTGATTAAAACACGATATATCACTTGTATAATATATTTTAACTTATTTTTCACTGAATTTCTAAATTTTACAATTCGATGCAATTTAGGGTTTGTTATTCAAAAATTCAACAACAAAAAAAACATTCCATATTTTTAATATAGACGACACTGTTTAGGAATATTGTCAATGTGGCCTGGTATCCAATAATCTAGTCATATCTGTACTAAAATAGAAATAAAAATAAAAAAAATCTAGTCATATATTTATAACTAACAATAACTCAACTTAGAGTACCTGAAAGCAATGTGGTCAAAAACGGGTTTCTACATAGAAATGGAAGGGAATGGGAGAAATATAAATCCTAAAAACAACATGAAACATAAAGTTTCTACTACTTAAGATCAAGATAAATATATATATATATATATATATATATATATATATATATATATATATATATGCATGCAAAAAAAAAATCACATAAGTCACTACTCAAAATTCAATGAACAACTTCATATTTAAAAGATATAAGTCACGTAACTATATAAGACATAAGTCCAAAAATACAAAAAGAGTTTAACAACTCCTATAACCAAATTCCACAACATCAAAAAAATAAAGTTTAACAACTCTTAAATGGAAAACAGCAACATCACGTGAGAGTTTTATTTTTCCAAATAGTTAAAACAAGATAATGTGCATTTGATTTGGGGGAAATAAAAATAGATTTTTTTTTATATTTTACTTTATTAAAAAAATACAAAATAAAAACAAATCATGAGTTAAAAGTTGACCTAGTTCGATTTCGATTTTTTAGTTTAAGTAAAAACGTAAAAACTTATGTTTCTACTGTTTTTACGTTTGTACACGTAGTTTTTACCAATTTTACTGAAAAGAATTTTTACTTACATTTTAACACGTATCACCTTAGTAAAAAGGTAAAAACGTAAGTTTTTACATATTTACACTAATTTTTGACAACAATGCAAGAAAACATTCAAGAGTTTGTAATTTTTTATAAAAAGAATAAACCTCTTCGTTCCTTATGTTTTAACAAAAATTGACAACATCTATAGTGCATTGCCACCTGGATCTAGCAATTAGCCGTGGGGAGTATGAAGGAACAAAAAACTTCCCATAACTTCCAGAAAGTATCCAATTTACGTAGGAGTATTAAGTTTATATCTTATATCCTAACATCACTGGTTAATCTGCTCTGCTTGAACTGAGACTTGACATCTTAACAATTTCTTTCCTTTGCTTCAGAATCTCAATAGGCCTAAGATAATCAGTGAAGAGGAATAGATTGCTGTAGCTGGTAAAAGTGAGGAGCAGCTTCCAATAGCCATGAGGGATCTATGGTTATGACATTGCGCATGTATTGTCGATCAGTTGATACAAGAGAATTGTAAATAACCCACTTAGGATTTACTCTGCAAAATAACATAAATTTTAGTTCACTTTAGATACAGAGGATATAATAATAATAATAATAATAATAAAAATAAAAACCCAAGCTTCTTAATCTTCTAAAGCATACATAGTAGTAAAAGCAGCACATAATACAAAAGATCATCCCAAACTCAGTTTTATAACAAACCTGAATAGAACTGATGATGGGTGAATATAAACTTCTTGTGATCCTCTTAACGTCTTGTACATCCCATTATGACTGTATGCCTTTTAACGAGGTACAGAAACTGAAGTCAAATTATTTCCTTTGCCACAAAATAAATTTTAATATACATGTAAAATGGAAAAGAAAATCATGTATATTAATACGTCAAGAATTATCTCACCTCTAGATGGCATGCATTAGCAAAAAAGCCAGCAGTAACTGCTTTCCTAACCACCTGGAACAATTTTAATTAGTAAATGTAATCAAATCAAGTTAACTAACTAAAACAAAGGAACTGAAAGAATGGGACAGGATCAATAAATTAGAATAATCACACTAGGGTAGAGAACTTTAACTAAACTATATGGGCATAAAAAGAATAAATCAGGAGAAGATCCGCATGCATTTTCTAAAAGAGCTTTTTCTAAACCAGTAAGAGTATAGAAAAATCAACCTGCATATCACTTTCGCAAGATTTTAAGACTAAGCCTATCCTCTGTGCAATTCTTTTGAGTTGTTCTCTAACTTCAAGAACCTTTCTCTGCGCAATTTAAGCAGCCATGTAAAATATTTGTGAAAAGGACAAATTGAAATGCCTACATTGTGCAAAGTAGCTACTCATACACACCATGGCATGGTAGTTCACAAAGTTCTTGTGACACCACTGTGAAGATTTACCAGACTGAAGAAACCCTTTATATACATTAAGGAATGTTACATGGTCACCCTGTATCAATTATTAAAAGATATCATATTTAGGAATAATAATAATAAAAAGTTCACACATTACATTGATACAGAAACAATTGCAGAACACGGGGAGAGTTTTAATGAAGATCAATTGTGTGTGTGTGTGTGTGTGAGAGAGAGAGAGAGAACAAAAAAATCAAACTAAAGTACCTCGGCAGCAGCAAATCTCAATTTTGCTTCATCTGATTCCTTTTGTATCCCTCTCCCTGAGATCCAGATAGACTGTATACATAGATAATTTGAAACTGAGATCAACTGCTCTATCACTACATTAACGTTTAACTATATTTCTGTGATATTTTCCACATAGATTTCATTTAATATTTCTCCACCTCAGTATGAAAAATTGATTTCAAGTTTCAACACACAGAAATTAATAGAAATTTATTTTGCCAAAACAATTCGTCATGACAGACGAGCAAAAAGCTTTACTTGGACCGAAAGAACAGCAGCAGTTGTGATTATCTCCTCTGAACACCCAAATTGGCTGGAAGCTATTATCATTTTTGAGATCATTGGATCCTGGCAAAAATTACAATCAATTAAGCAGACATTGGCAAAATTGTAAGAAATGCATCTGGAAAGCTAATTATGGAAAGGTGAGAAATGCGTGTAAAAAAGGACAGACATCAAAAACTCCTTAACAGCAGAACAATGGCAATATCTGTACTTGTACCCTTTATTTAAAGAATATATCAACAACAAAGGAAGAGTAGAAGCTCTTAAAATATATTGTTTATTTAATGAATCCACACATTGCATCTATGCATAATAGAAAATATGAAGAAACATAAAATGGTTAAGAGAACACTTGAGAGCAAAGAAAACCATGTAATATATACTAGAATCACATGCACTGCCGACCAAAGCCACATAAATGGTGCAGAAAATGGCCCATATTACACTAGAATCACATGCACTGCCGACCAAAGCCACATAAATGGTGCAGAAAATGGCCCAAAGCTGTCGGTTGATTTCTTTAGGGTTGGAAAAAAACGGGAGGGACTTAAGGGAGAGGAAATGACAACTGCATTAATATTTAATAGAAGAGTGCAGGTTCTCCATGAAATTCTGGATTCCTAATTTATCTGAAAAGGGCAGAGTTCCTAAATAAACTCATAGAATTGCTTCCAAGTCCTAATTTTTCAATTCTTTACTTTCTCTTCTGCTATTCTTTTGTGCTATCTGCTATAAGTCTGGTGTACTTAGAACTAACCCTGTACCCAGGGTAAATAAAACAAAGATGAAGTACGTAACAAATGAATGAAGCGTGATTTTAGTGGTATCGAAAATATACAAGTGGAATCTCTGCAACTTGAAATCCAGTTGGTGAAGTAAGCTTAGCATCATCATCCAAGACCCCAAGAGAGTAGAGAACTTCTAGTGCTCGGATCATTGCTTCAGGAGATGGAGATGCTGGCCAGTCAAAGCCCAAGATATTATCAATCCCCAATGCCTTTAACTGGAAATCATAAGAAAAGGTGTTAAGTAATTAACTTTAGGATCAACCATTAACTTAATCTTACACACACATACTATTGCAGCAAGCAATACTATGGTAATAGCACTCAAATGGAATGATATCAGTTATATCAGAAAAGGTGAAGTTGATGATTGGGCAGTCCATCTTATCGAACACAAAACTATATGCTTTTTCTTTTTTGGATAAAAAGGAGGAATTTTATTAGAGAGAAGCGATGCACAAATAGGGGGCAGAGGCTAAAGAATACAACAACACCGTTCAATCCCTTCCATAATAGAAGTGGAAATCCTCTTATGAATAACCATTAGCATAGCAACAGAGAGAGGTAATAAAAATAATCTTATCCTATATAACATACGTAGGGGAATACTAATATGCAAGTTTGTGGTACAGTATGTCTGTATTATAACAAGGAATTCTGTTCCTGCCCTCCTTTCAAAAATTTCTCTCTGAACATCTTTGGCACATACGATCATAATGGAAGTGCCTAACTGTTTTAGGCATTCAACAAGAAAACAGGGGGGATTCATTGCAAGAAAGGAGTTAGTGAAACAAAGTATTGAAAACAATGACATTTCAAATGCAACTTTATCTTTCTCTCTCCAATTAATCTTTATCATTTTTTAATTAAGAAAATCATAAGGAGAGGAGATACATTTTTAATTTATATTTATTAAATTTAAAAAGTCATGATAAATCAGAAGAACATTGATGCAACTAATCATTACTATTGACCGGAAAAATATAATCTCAGTCAAAGAAGCATGCCTGGAGAAAAAGAAACAACCAATGGTGGGGGTGCTACCATAAGAAATAAAATGGACTTAAAAGTTTGTTTCTGCTAAATTATATTAAAAAATTTACTAACCTGGATTACACAGGAGACAAGATTTGATCTCTGTATCTCTGGAGTTCCCTCATTAGACATGTGGTTAAGAAAATATTCTTCTGTATATAGCCTGGTTGCAGTCATGTGACAATGAATGGTAACATTAAACAAATAAATCAAGAAAACATGATCAACAGTATTACATAATGAAATTGAAGAAGAAATATTAACTTGGTCAATAAAATGCTTAGTATGATACTTAGAATAGAGCCAAAGCAGTGAGCCAGCTAAAGTAACTGATAAAGGGTAAAAGCAGAGGGAAGAGCATACATACATACATACACGGGCGCCCACACACACTCTTGATCAAAACAGAGAATTTATTAGACAGAAAAAGTGCAAACGGCTATTGAGGGGACTGGATAAGATATCCTCCAAATCAGAAAAATTTCAGGGAAAAATAAAAAAATAAGAATGCTTAAAGGCTGCCCAATTTCTTTATGTATCAGAAATGAAAAACCCGTTGAAACAGCTATGAGCAGAGCACCAGCAAGAGACCATAAATCCCAAAGAAAATCCAGGGGCAAAAAGTGGCCTTTCAAAAATAATGCATTCAGCTTAAATCAAATAAAATAAATCAAAAACCAGTAAAAACTGTACACTGCCAACTTTTTTCGAATTGAAACTGCCATGAAATTTTGGCATCTCTGTTTCTCCCAAAACTTTTTAAAATGAACTAAAAGAAATTGCTCCAAGGTGAAGTGGGCACACTTGTTCACCGCAGTGTAATTAGTTCTTAGCAAAAAATTAAAAAAAGGAAAATTAATAAGGTATTCTAAAGCATGCCATTTATTTATTTATTTATTTTTTTAAGATATTTAGTGCAACGACATATATAGTATAGCAAAAGCATTTCCTTTTATTTATAGTATTATTGGATATTGAGGCCTTTCGCAAAAGATTTTGACAAGAATGTCAATACACATATTTATAGACTAACAGGGGCTCTTTCTGCCATGGGGTATTTGGAAGGAGAAATCCACAGCAAGAAACAAAAAAATAGACTTTTAGTTAAATGTGGTTCTTAGGCTGATAAAAAATTTAAATTCTTGTTATCAAAAAAAAAAAAAAAAAAAAAATTTAAATTCTTATTCAGAAGCAATAGACGACTAAGTGAATAAAATATATTTGATATTATTAAACCAACTAAAAGAAACTATCTAATTTCAGTCAGACACCTGTAACACTTTCCTGGTCGAACACGTCCAGCCCTACCAGCTCTTTGTCTAGCAGAAGCCCTAGATATTGGTGCCACAACCAGATTTTCAATATCAGAAATCTGTTAAAAAGAAGGGCAGAAAATTACACTCAGTGACATCAAGACATCTGAGAAAAAGAGTGGAGAAAGAAAGACTTCTAAAAAATAAAGTTACTCGCATGCCAGCAAGAATCAATCAAAACTTAGTGGAAAATTCTAATAAACTGAATAGTAAAGAGAATCCTGCATGAATGCTTATTAAGAAATCAACTGTGTACCACAACTGGGAAACAATATACTGAAATTTTTAAGGTTCTAAATCCTTCATGAACTAATAATGAATCGTTTGGATAAGCCACATTAAAAATTGACGAGGCATCTCTAATTTATTAAGAAAATACAAGTTCAGAAGTGGAAAGTGAGGATAAACCCTCTGCAGTGGAATAGTACTGGATGAGAAATAGATAGGAAAAAAGAAGCTTGAGCAGAAGCAAAGATAGAAGGCAGGGTATTAATCCAATGGGCATGTGCTTTTATTAATTAAAATATGAAACAAAAAAGACATTTATAAACCAAAACAGGAGCAAATCATTATAGGGCTCGATACTACATATCTTTAAGAGAATCAACAAAATGGAAATACCGGATTGTAGAACCGCTGTTTGGAGAATCCACTGTCAACAACATAGACAATGCCCTGCACCATTAGAAAAAAATAAGAATGGATAAGAAACGCCTTGTTCCCTCTAGGCTCTAACTATAGTCAAACTTATTGTAGAATAGATGTTACCTCCAACGTGAGCGATGTTTCTGCTATATTAGTAGAAATTATGACTTTCCTCTTTCCTCTAGGAGTTGGAGAAAACACTAACTCCTAAGAGAAGTGATACATGTATCCCCACATTCAGAAATCTAAACAAACAAACAAATAAATTTTTGAGAACTAAATCCACAGATGTATTTCTAACCTGTTCAGCACGTGGAAGTCCTGAATAGAGAGGCAAAACAATCAATCCTGGAACAGAAGAAAGTTTCATGCATTAGCGGAATCTGACTGACAAGTATAATTATGTGCAAAATATGAAAGCCTTTTTCCATTATGTTGTGTTTAGAGAAACATAAATTCTATGCATATTATACTCATTTATTTTTAGTTGTAAGTAGTTAAAGACATCAAAAGCTACTAGTCAAAATAAGAACTATTCAGGGTGTCTGGGTGTGTACCTGCAGAGTGTTTCCTATTAGTTTGAACTTCTTCAGTGAGTAACTGAACAGCAGCATCAATATCATCTTGGCCAGTAAGGAACACTAGAACATCTCCTGTGGGCTCCTAAGGAGAGAAAGCATAGACCAAAACTACCATTTCAATCAATTTTGTTTTTGTTTTAACTGTTAAGATAAATCTGACTTTTTGCTTATTTCAACAGCGGAGATGTTTATAGTGAGTGTTTACTTTGCTGGTGGAGGGCCCCAGAATTTATGGTATGGATTAAAATGAACACTCATAATTTGGTGTCCATGGACAAGCCTAATGCATGCACCGTGAAACAACATATGTAATTACACTGAATTAAATGCGTTGAGATTATCCTATCACAATAGCAAGTAAAAATACCCGCTCATGAATCAAGAGTACTGTTGAAACAGCTGCCTGAACATAGTCTTGGACAGGTTCCTCAGCAAAATTAATTTCTACATTGAAGCCTCTGCCCTGAAAATCATAAAGCATACTTTATTTGAACATTGGAAACTTTAACCTGGACATGACAAAGGCATAGTGATTCCTCACAATTAATATATCTCCAAATCATAATGTAGTTCAGATTCTGAAAAGAGAGATTTTTTTAGAAAATCAATATTATTAATATTGAATAAAAGAGAAGAAATACAGCTGGGTGAGGATATGGTGAACCCAAGAGCAGGAAAAAGTTAAAAGATAAACAAGGAAACAAGGAAGCTGGGAATACATCAACCCAGTCCTTTTGCAAATCAGATACACCCTTGAAACAACCATGGGCTGAGAACTAGAGAGAAACTAAAAGATAACCTCTTCCAAAAGCAAACTTGGGGCAAGGGAGATTCACCTAACCTAAAACAGGAGACATGCAAGCAAGTGTCGTACTTCCAAAAATAGTACCTCAACTGATAAGATTGCAGGTTCCACTTGTACTCCATGCTCCTCGTTTTCAGGTTTTTGGCGCTTTTTTCTGTTAACAGAGTGCACGGTGTTGAATAAGAGGCTACTTTTTTGGGTGATAATTTATAAGGAGTTAAGTATCAAACAAACTGGATTAAATATGACATTGCAAAGGTTATATTTTCTCCTTTGTGCTTTCTGTGGGTGCAGGAGAGAGGAATAACATTGAAAGATGTCAGTTTAAAGCTACCAGTCAGACAATGACCCAGCATCCCAAGGTTATTTCTATGAGAAAACATTAGCATTACAAATAATTAAATGCCAACAGATATAGGTATATGGATGAAAATGCTCCTTCACTGATGAAAATGTTCCTTGCCTTGTGCTGGTTACTTGTTGTAGCTGTCTAAATATAAACCGAGTGAATCTTAAAATCAGATATTTACAGTTTAGGTTATTTTCCTGATAAAATCTCGTGATATTTTTTATGAAGATAAATTCTATAAATAGAACTTCCAGAAGAGTGTTAAGGTGAAAAAGTCTAAACAATTGAAACATAGAAAGAGCAGAAGAAAACCTTGTTCGGAAGAAGTCAGACATTGATTTCGCTTCAATAGTAGCAGATGTGATAATCAATCGCAACTCTGGTCGACGCCGTTGAATCTAAAAATGCAGCAAACAGAAAACTTACAAACTAAAAGATTCAAAAACTGTGAAGATAAAGAAACTATTTGTTAATTAAAAAAAAAAAATTGATCCTAGATATATGGCTTGCCCATCAATTCAATACCTTTTTCAATAGTCCAAGCAAAATGTCAGTTGAAATCGACCTTTCGTGAGCTTCATCCACCATTATAACACTGTAACAATTATTTTAGGGGGTAAAAGGAGTTCAGGACAGGAAATGGAATAGCATCTCTTTCATAGAAACAGATATAAAGTCCTTGTTACTTGGCACAACCACAAAAGGTTCGAATACTGTAAAAGGAAAACTATTTATATCGCAATTATACTATTAGGCTTTGCATGGATAACTTCTAAAGTCTCAACAGTCATGAACATTTGTTTTGTCTAGAGCTAGACTAATTGTCACTGGAAAGCTCTGCAGCTATACACCTTTCAATTTTACCTTTTTTTAAATATTTTTTATGGATAAAAAAGAGGGCAAGCCTGGAGCAGTGGTAAAACTGTCCTTTTATGACTAAAAGGTCAAAGGTTCGAATCCGGGAACAGCCTCTTTGTAGAGTAAGACTACGTACAAATATTTCCCTAACCTCTACCCTCACTTATCGGGATTTAATGGAGAGCGATTATTTTTTTCATGGATAGAAAAAGAATTTGTTGAGGTTAAAGAAGAGTATGGAGTGGATTAGAAATCCTTTCAAATTAAAACAAATGGCAAAAGTCATGAGTCCCAAAACCAAATCACAGTGTTCATAAGAAAGGCTCTCCAAATCTGCAAGCAACTTCATAATGAAGGAAAAGATCATAAGGATGCTAAACTGCCTTCATACCACCATGATATCCCTGGTTCATCCAGGTCTTTGATGTCTAAATCACACTTTGCGTACATGGAATATGTCACTTTTATTAATAGTTATATAGGTAGTAGCAGTAGTGTTTGTGTGTAACATTTGAAGTTGTTATTTCAATGAGATGATAAAACAGAGTGAAAACAAGTACCTATATTTGGTCAAAAGAGGATCGTCCATCATCTCCCTTAGTAGCACCCCGTCAGTTAAGAATTTCAGTACTGTTACATCCTGTGCTGCCAAAAAATGGAAAACCATTATAAGCATTGGTGATCAACCGACCAAGTATTAAGACGAATCTTATTCTTTTTTCCTCTGGGATAGATATTTATAAGATATGGAGATGTGGTAATTGTATTAAGAGATGCTCACTGGTTTTGTAAAATCTTCAAACCTAATGGTGTAGCCAACTTGTTCACCAAGTTTGACTCCCATCTCTTCAGCAACTCTGGAAGCAACAGCCTGTGAAACTCGAACAGTTAAGATGAGAGAGCATTGACAATTATGAAAGATTGAACGAAGAAAAAGGAACCTGAACGGCAAGTCGTCTAGGTTGAGTACAAGCAATGAGTCTGCCACCATCAGCCCACCCTGCTTCTTTCAGGTACTGCAGTGCATTCCATTGTAAGTCACAAGAATTTGGATTTGAACTTGAATTTGAATTTGAATTTGCAGCACGGGGAGCAATAGGATAAAAGGAACCTGAGGAATTTGAGTGGTTTTGCCACTACCGGTCTCGCCGACAATGATGGTGGTGGCGTGAGTCTCGACCAGGTAGAGAATGGAAGTGCGGTACTTGTACACAGGCAATCGCTGCCGTTGCTTCTCGATAGTGGCGTATCCATATCCAGAAGATGAAGACGAAGACGAAGAATGTGGGCCTGACAAGAATAGAACACCGCCTTCTTCATCGTCAACCACTCGACCCTGAGGCTTCTCCGTCCCTGGTTTCCAGAACTGCGCCATCACTCCTCTCTCTCTCTCTCACTACCCAGCCCCGACCCCTCTAATTTCTGGATCGGGTCTACTGTTGGATCAAACGCCATTGGGCCCAATCCGGATTTGTGGGCTTTGGAATTGGCCCATATCCTTCATCCATCTAAAGGGAAGTGATTGAAAGAAATGAAATGAAAAAAAGACGTTACATTTCTTCCAATTTAGTTCTCTTCTATAAGCTTAACCTTTATGCTAAAAAGGTTCCCATCAATCTGTTTCATAGAAACAGATATAAAGTCCTTGCTAGTTACTATTTGGCAGCCGTGAAGCATGACACTTTAATATTTATGACGTGTCGGATTTGATATTTTCCGACACTCACCGACACTCCAATACTCATTGTAAAGACTAAAAAAAAATTCAAAAGTTGCGTTGCATTTTGAGTTCCAACTATTAAATTCATTGGATTACGATTATTATTTTATTGAGTTTAATATAAACATTTAGGATATCTTATGTTTCTTTGCAAAATTGATGGGTATTATGAGTTTAGCTTTATTTTTTTTTAAATTATTGAATATTAAATATAATATACACTACATAAATTAAAAATATTATATAATATCAAAACGTGTCCTAACGTGTTAAAATTTAACATTTTTTAGAATTAACATGTCGAAGTATCGTATCGTATCCTATGTCCCGTGTCGATGTCGATGCAACATAGCTTGACACAACCACCGCAAAGCTTGATGTCCTCTGTGATTTTATCCAGCTTAAACCAAATTAGTTAAGTAGTCAATGAACCAGCGGAGAAATAAAAAATAAATAAAATACATCTAAGACTAACAATATATAAAACATAATTGACTAAATGAAACTTCCCATCAAAAGCCTATACTAATTTTATTAAATAATACTAATCAAATATTTGGTGAATTTCAAAGCATCTTCCATTGAATTATAACATGAATCCAATTTTTCTCAAGACCAAAAATTAAACTAATTGTAACTCAGAAAAATTATTAAAAATATCTAAGAATGAGTCATACTGCAGGAACATAACAACAGAAGTTAGAAATGATATACACGCAATACTAGCGGTTTATATCGTTAAGAAGATATATACTTTCAAACTATCTAGCTCTTAATTCTTAACCATCTATATTGACTTTTCAAATTTCAAACTTTCAATCGACATGAAATTCCAGGTCAAGACGTACAAAAAAATGAAAATTCTTGTGTGTTTCTCGGTTTCTGTCGTGCAACCAGTCAACGTAATACAAGTCAAGACGCTAAATTCCAGGTTGATATATTTACAGCAGAATGATAGCCACGAATGTACTGTAATAATTTCATTCAACGGTGGGATTTTGATATCTGACCATTGACAAGTCCCTCCACCATATGTTTATATATATGTATCCATACTTTCATTGAAGGAATATAATATCAGCCTATTAATCTTCAATTCTTTATGTCAATCATAATACTTGAGCCAATATGAATTTTTACGCCAAAACTTGCAACGCAGTTCCAAACCTTCTGCTTAGGCTTCCTCTCATAATCTCGCTTCTCCTATTCAAGTGCCTTATAGGAGTTCAGGCTGCCAACAGTTCCCAAAATTCAAGTGTTGGTGTGGTCATTGATATCAATTCTGAGACGGGAAAACAGCAGAGAAGAGCCATGGAAGTTGCAGCTCAAAGTTTCAATGATTATTCCAAGACTCAAAACATTATCCTTTTCTTCCGTGACTCTGGTAGAAACCCATTACGAGCAGCTTCAGCTGGTGAGTACTATTTGATGACAAATATTTTGGTCAAAAACATCTCTCTCTTTTTTTCCTTTACTTTAAGCACATACAGAATATCTTACTTCTTTCTGATTTGCAGCTGAAGATTTGATTAATAAGAAGAAAGTTAAAGTCATTATTGGCATGGAGACATGGCAGGAAGCAGCTCTAGTTGCTGACCTTGGAACTAAAGCTCAAGTACCAATTATTTCATTTTCTTCTCCCTCCGTAGTCCCTCCATTAATGCAACTTCGTTGGCCTTTCTTGATTCAAATGGCTAAAACTCAAGATGCACACATGAACTGCATAGCAGATATTATCCATGCCTACAACTGGCAAAATGTAATAGCTATATATGAAGACAACCCTTATAGTGGTGATTCTGGAATGTTAAGCCTCTTTTCTGAGGCTCTCCAAAAGGTCAACGCGCAGATTGAGTACCGATTAGTTCTTCCATCATTCACTTCTTTATCTGATCCAAAAGGGGTTGTTCTCGACGAATTGCTTAAGCTATTGCCACTTAAATCTCGTGTTTTTATTGTACTTCAAGCATCGTTCCCTATGGTGACTCATTTGTTCAGAGAAGCTAAGAAAATTGATGGATTCTTGGGGAAAGAGTCAGCTTGGATAATCAATGAGGAGATTACAAGTATGTTGGATTCTGTCAATAAATCTATTTTATCTTCTATGGAAGGTACTTTGGGAATCAAAACGTACTATTCTACAAGCTCTAGTGCTTATACTAAGTTGCAGGAAAATTTCCTAACTGAGCATACAAAAACAGTTGGGTCCAAACCAGGATTAAATGCACTACGAGCTTATGATAGCATTACAGTCATCACAAGGGCCTTGGAGAAAATGAATACCAACTCTAGTAACTCAATGATGTTTTTGGAGGAAATGTTATCTAGCAATTTCAATGGTTTAAGTGGTCATATAAGGTTCAAAGAAAGTCATCTATCCTACACTCCAATAATAAGGGTCATAAACGTGGTTAATAAGAAATACAATGAATTGGACTTTTGGACACCAAAGTTGAAGTTCGCTAGATCTCTTAAAATATTGAAAGACAGAGAGAAAAGAGGTGATAATGCAACAAAAGGCTTAACTGGCCCAGTGGTCTGGCCAGGAGGCCTAACTTCTGTTGATCCTAAAGGATGGAAAATACCTACAGATACAAACCCTTTAAAAGTTGCACTTCCCATGAACCCTGCTTTTGATAATTTTTTGAAGATAGACCCCCAAAATCAATATACTGGTTTCTGTATTGATCTTTTCCACAAGGTACGAGACATTCTGATTGACAAGTATTCTGGTCTGCCCTATGAATTTCACCCCCGCAATGAATCGTATGATACACTTCTACTGCATGTCATAAATGAGGTAAAATCTTTATCTTCTCAACATTAAGTTCTTGTAAAATTGTGTTTTGTTTTATGATTTTATCTGTCATCTTCAATATATGCATTGCACACCACAACATAACCTTACTCGTAGATCAAACATCATATTTTCTCAAAAGCAAAATGCTTCTAAAGTAGCCAGCTTATTTGACCATTGAATTTGTACAACTAAAAACTGGTGATTTGATTGAGTGAATAATTAAGCAGTAATTGTATTCTACACCAAATTGGCAGTAATAACAGCATTTTGTCAAGGAAGATAAATTCATATCAGAGCCTTCCTATTAATTTTATGAATTTCCCAACACATATGCTACCTGGTATATTTCTTAAAATATTTCCCCTCTCAAGACGTTCATGATATTTGTTTGAGCATGACCAAGTTAAGATAATAACAGGAAACCTTATAGAGATTGAAGGAACTAGCCAAGTTTGTGTCGGAAGGAAAAAAAAAAAAGGGATAAGAATTTGACTAATAGAATTGTTCATCAAATCATATAGTTAGTTTTTTTTTTTTAATTATTATGTAAAATATATTTTTTCAAACAAAATGGGAAAAGAATGCTAATACCACTATTCTTGACCAAAATCAATTGCAGTCCTATGATGCTATTGTAGGAGATGTCACAATACTTGCCAATCGATCAAAGGATGTGTGGTTCACTCAACCATACACTGAGTCAGGCTTATCACTCATCCTTCCAGCAGAGACTGAAGGATCAGCATGGTTGTTTATGAAACCATTTAGCTTGGAGATGTGGATAGCAACTATTGCCATTCTCATCTACACAATGTTTATCATCTGGTTCCTGGAGCATCACTTGAATCCAGACTTTGGTGGACCGTTGAAAAATCAGATCAGCACCACACTGTGGTTTGCTTTTTCTTCTCTATTTTTCGCTCATAGTAAGTATAAATATACAAGAAATGATTTTTTATTTTATTTTATGTATTTGAAAGTCAAAATTGATTGGTAATTTAGTGTAGGTTTTTTCCAGGCTGAGGTATTTATGAGTCAGAAAGTTGCCATATTACACAAATCTTATACAAATAAAGACCTTAAAACTACGGATAAAACAATATATAAAGAGGAAAAAAAAAGTACAAAATCTTCAGCAATGATTCTGACATCTTGCAATGATCAGCAAATGTATATTCCTTGTGATTTGAACTGGGTAGTTTATAGGGGATTTAGTGGCACTTCTGAGTTGCAATACTTAACAAAATTGTGTTTAGAGAAAAACTTAAATGTTAAATTTCATAAATATTGCTTCTTCAATTGGAAAACCTTGCTTTTGTACACTAATTCTAATAGCATGATATCTGATTCTGATGTAACCCAGAGGAGAACATAAACAGCAACACTGCACGAATAGTAGTTGGTGGATGGTTATTTCTTGTGTTTGTCCTAACCTCAAGCTACACGGCCAGCCTTTCTTCAATGCTTACTGTACAACGGTTGAAGACTGGAAGAGATATTGAGTGGCTAAAGCAAAACAACTTACCAATTGGTTGTGATAATAGCAGTACCTTTATAAAGAGCTACTTGGTGAATGTGTATGATGTTAAACCGCATAATGTCATAGACGTTGATGGAGAACATGACATTGTGGATAAATTCAAGAGCAAAAGAATTTCTGCTCTCTTTCTTGAGAGCCCATATGTGAAGGTTTTCTTGAATAAGTACTGCAATGATTACACTGCAACTACAGCTGCCTATAAATTTGGAGGGCTGGGCTTTGTGAGTGCTTCCAACTCCTCAAACTTTAGTTATGTATTTTGCATTCTCAAGTCTATAAGTTCATTAGCAAAACATTTTACTCTATGCAGTTAACTTGCCAAAAAAGTAACCTATAATGTAAAGTAACTATGGAAAGAGAAGCAAGTATATTCATTCTGAAGAAACTCTTGGTTTTCTTGCACTGACTATATGATATATGCAGGTATTCCAAAAAGGATCTCCAATGGCAAAAGATTTCTCTGAAGGCATTTTAACACTAGCTGAAGATGGATCACTAAAAACTTTAGAAGATCTATGGTTGACCCCTTCCAATGAATGCTCAAAGAACAAAACTTCTCCAGAAACTGAGAGCCTGACCCTCACCAATTTTTGGGGTCTCTATATGATGTGTGCTGCCACTTCCACTTTCTGCTTAGTACTGGCCTTACGGACGAAGTATCTGCAAAACCATAACCATTACCAACATGAAGAGGAAGCTCAACGTCAAGGCAATGCAACCACTGATGATAATAGTGTTTGGAAGAAGGCTTTTAGAATCGGTACAGAATTTTACAATGGGAATGTGAGAACTTTTGATAAAGCTGCAACTTTTGGTGGAAGGGGAACACATGCTGTACGTCGTCGGAATTCCTCAAGATGGGAGAGTATAAGGACTTCTGATGATCTAAGCAATCCACAGCGCTCCCAATCAGCTGTCATAGAAATGATGTAGCCTCTGCATGTTGCTCAAATGATAAAAAAAAAAAGAAATAGAAACAGAAATCAATGACTTACATACGTTGTTTAAAATTCATATTTAACAGTCTCATAACTTGGTTGTTATGTATATTCTTTTTTTCTTTTTTTATTGCCAGTTGTTATGTATATTCTAGATAGTCTTTAACTTAATAACCTCAATTCTTTAGTTATGGTAGTAGCGCTTATTTTTCCAGAGAATCTGGTGTTACACTGATCTCAAGTCTTAACTTCAAATCCTTGTTCTGCAGCATTACTCTTTCAGTATATTAGTACATATAATGCACCCAGTATGAAATAGCAATTAATCTTTCAATATTTTATTTTCTAAGTTTTTATTTTAGAATCTGAACATGCATTAAACATAAGGAAAAATACTTGTTATTTTAAATGACACAAAGTTATATTATTTTTAATGAAATTACGTCGTTTTGATGTATTTTTATATTCTCTTTCCTCAACTTTCTTTTTATTTCTAATTTTATAAAAAAAGAAACAATAACAAAATACACTAAAACAATATAATTTCATTAAAATTCTGATACGCACCCTGGACCAGAGATAGAAGAAGGAAACGGTGATATTGAGACAGAAGAGGTAGTGACGGTGGAACCGACATCAGAGCAGAGGAAAGAAGCTCCTAGAAGAGGGAGCAGGTTGAAAGTGCGCTCCAAGTGTTGGAATGATGTGGGCCGTAGTGGGGTCAGAAGCCCAATAGGTGAAATAGGAATAGAGGCATTAAGTACATGGATTGCTTGTAAATAATGGGCCTACGATGAGTAGCCCAATAGGAATACAATGGAATTCTCTTTTATAGTGAGAGTCACGTCTTAGGAGATTTTTATCTGAAGTTTGTAACTAAATTTCCCCTTTCTTCTTCCTCTGTATTCTTCTTGGAGTCCCCGATAAACTCGAATTACCGTTGAATCTGGCAATATACATTTACTTGTTTTGTTTTCCCGTTCTTGATCCCATCATTTTGGTGCTTTCATTGAGAGACAACTTCTGTGCATCGTCACCATGACAGAGGGAACTCGCAGTGCTGTGAAGCAGCAGAACGCCATTGACGAATGTTTGAACCGCGTGCAACACCACGAAGAACAATTCAGTGCCTTAGGAATTATATTAAAGGAAATGAACTTGAAATTAACAATGATGGAGGCTAAAATAGATCAACAGAATAGAGGTAAAGGTAAGACAGAAACCTCATCAGGAGAGGGAATTGGTGGTTTATTTGGTAATAATCCTTTTAAATCAGTCAAACTAACCATACCTCGGTTCAATGGAGGTAACCCGGAGCCGTGGATTAACAAGATCCAGCAATTCTATGGATTCCACAATTTGTCTGATGATGAGAAATTTACGCTCACGTATTTCACATGGATGGGAAGGCTGAAGAATGGTACCATTGGATGGACCGTAATGGCAGATTGCATACCTGGAACCAATTTTTGGAAGCCTTGCGTTCCAGATTTGGCCCTTCACGGTATAGGGATTTGAGAGGAGAACTGGGTAGGCTGACCCAAGGTACTACCGTGGATGATTATCAGACACACTTCGAGCAGCTGGCCAATCAAGTTATTGGGATTGATGATTTAACCTTGCAGAGTTACTTTGAATCTGGTCTCAAACCGGAGATCCGCAAAGAGGTACGAATGCATCTTCCTGCAAGCTTGGAGCAAGCAATTGATTTAGCTAAAATAATTGAAGACAAGCTGAATGATCGAAGCACTAGCAGAAATTTTTACAGTAAAAATCAAGTAAACAATACTGCAAATAACCAAGCTGGGTTATTACCTACACCTTCGAAAAATCTGGCTATTGGCACTGGTGCAACTAAAACCCCTCTCCCCATGAGGAAGCTGTCCACTGCTGAAATGGCAGAAAAAAGAGAGAAGGGACTGTGTTTCTATTGTGATGAAAAATTTAGTAGAAGTCATGTCTGCAAAGGGAAGATGTTCATCTTAGTCATGCAGGAAGATGGTGATGATCCACCACTGCCGGAAGAGACGCTCTTAGAACTGGAGCAGGTTGCTGAAGAGTTGGGAGGAGAAGCCCTTCTGACACCAGAAATTAGCTTGCATGCCATGGCAGGGCAGCACTCAACTAGTACACTGAGGGTCACAGGAAGAATCAGTAATGCAACAGTGCAGATTCTTGTTGATGGTGGTTCAACCCACAATTTTATCCAAGAACGTTTGGTGAAATTCTTGGGTTTAGAGATCATACCAACACAGAAATTTCAAGTATTAGTGGGAAATGGAGAGAGGATGGGCTGTTTGGGAATGTGTCCTGAGGTAGTTATGGATATACAAGGGCATAGTTTCTGTCCTGATCTTTATGTGTTACCAATTCAAGGAGCTGAGGTGGTTTTGGGGGTGCAATGGTTATCTGAGTGGGGGAATATTACAATCAATTACAAACAACTGGTGATGCGGTTTGAACGAGAAGGACAACCAGTGGAGATACAAGGGGAGCCCACTGCTAACATGCAGCCCATCCAATTAAATCAATTTCGGAGGTTGACAGCTTCCAACTCAGTAGCTTGTCTTTATCAATTGCATGCCACTGTGCACCCTCATGAGTCTCTGATAGCAAGTAGAAATGAACCTGATGCTCGGGTGCTTCACGTTCTCAAGGAATTTGAACAAGTATTCTCCAAGCCTTCCACATTGCCTCCACATCGCCAGCAAGATCACCAGATTCATTTAGAACCTGGAACAAAGGCAGTCAGTGTCAGACCTTACCAGTACCCACATTTTCATAAAACTGAAATGGAAAAATTGGTCAAAGAAATGCTAGAATCAGGGGTGGTGCGTCCTAGTATCAGTCCATTTTCTTCTCCGGCATTGCTTGTTAAAAAAAAAGATGGTACCTAGAGATTTTGCGTAGACTATAGAGCTCTCAATCAGGTCACTGTAGCCCATAGTTTTCCAATTCCGACCGTGGATGAGATGCTGGACGAGTTGGCAGGAGCTACCATTTTTTCTAAGATGGATCTCCGGGCGGGTTACCACCAGATCCGCATGGTTGATCATGACATTTACAAAACTGCCTTTCGCACGCATGACGGCCACTATGAATTTGTGGTTATGCCATTTGGCTTAACCAATGCCCCAGCTACCTTCCAGGGAATCATAAACTCCATCCTTAAGGTATATTTGCGGAAGTTTGTAATTGTTTTCTTTGATGATATTCTCATTTACAGCAGGACCTTAGACGACCACTTGAAGCACCTGCATGTTGTCTTGGAATGTTTACACACTAATCAGTTTTACGCAAAACAAGAAAAATGTACATTTGCACAAACTGAAGTTGAGTACCTCGGCCATGTGATTGATGCAAGAGGTGTCAGACCCGATGATGGCAAAATTAAGGCTATTGCGGACTAGAAGGAGCCTACCACTGTGAAGCAGTTAAAGGGCTTCCTTGGGTTGGCTGGTTACTATCGCAAGTTTGTCAAGGGATTCTCCCAGATAGCAGCTTATAATAACCCTTACTAGTAATGGTGGATTTAATATTGAAGAATAATTAGAAGTAAAAGAAATAAAGTCACCTTTGGTGAAAAATGAGTTAAAATGATAGTTAAGGAGTAAAAATGCAGGTAAATAAAGTTACCCGAAAGTAAAAAGTAAAATTATAAATATTACCATAAAAATATTCTGGACTAGTATACAAAGTTTGGTAGGGAATGGAGATGTGTAGATAGGTAAGTTGTTACCCAGTTAAAGAGTAACTTCAAATAAAAGCCTTAAGAAACCCGTAAGCTTTCATTTCTTCCTCTCCGTGCGCGTTGGTTACTGTCATTTTTTTTCCTCAGAAGCCAACGTAGGGTTTCATCTTTTCTTCCTTCCATTCTCACTCATTTGGTCACCAAAAGTCATGATGCCATACATGAAAATTGTAGAAAAAAGGCTAGTGAATCCATTCCACCACTCTATTTGGGCTGATTTGGCTTGTGGAGAGAGTTATTCATCACCCCTAATTCGTGGCACTATTCATCCTTGTGAAATAGTGGGGCTTTTGAGTGAGCAAAGCTTAGGTTTTGTTCTTTGGAGCTTGGAATAGCAACTATAGGTAAGAAACCTCTAATTCTATGGTTCTATGTTTGTGATTTAAGTCTTGATAATTGTGAGCATATTTTGGTAGAAAATAATTTAGTTTGAATTGGAAATTGATGATGAATTGTTGTTCGTAGTAGTTGAAAAGTTGTTGAGAATGGATGTTGAAATTTGAGAAAATGGATGGCCTACCTCTCATGTATAATTCAACCTATATACAATAAAAGGGGTAGACCAAGTGTTTGATGAAATGCCAAAGTGAAAATAATACCTTGTATGTAATTACTGATAAGTGGTGTGAATTAGGATTGGTAAAAGTGATGAAAGTTAAAGAAAAAGACATTGTTCCTATATATATGTATTCTGGCCAAGAGGAAAAAGAACAAGGAATATCATGCTTTAATATGTTTGAATGTGTGTTTATGTGTCTTGAGGTTGGTTTGATTATCTACTTAATTGGAGTTATGTGAAGTGAGAAATAAAGGAAAGAAAAACATGAGAAAAAAATGATAAACACTTATGAGTGCAAATCTGCCATCATCCTGAAATAGGTACAAATGAGGTATTTGGTGATATTTAAATAAGAGATGATGATGGATATTCGATGTAGTGATGAAGGGAATGGTTGCTAACAAAAGATAGCTTGAGAAAAAGTCATGAACACACCTATATGTGTCATTTTCAACCCTTAAAGAAGTAAATGGGTTGGAATTGTATTGGACTTGGAATTATGATTTGTAAGTTATGTTGAGGACATGATAAGTCCATGTAAAGTGAGAAATGCCCACTAAGAGTTAGTGGTTTTATCCTAACTAGCTTTGGGGTTCTATATGTAAGTTTGAAAGGAATTAGTATATGACTTGTGTATTGGCATAGATTTAGCATAAACGTAAAGAAACGAAAATAAACGATAAAATGTATGCCTTATGTAAAATCTAGGCATGATAGCATTTTATTGATTTGTATTTTTGTATTCTTTCTCTAGGTGTACCTAGGGACTGAAAAAGATCGGAACCTTCTTGAAGATATATAAGTAACTTGTGCCACAAGTAAGCGGATTGAAAAAGCTTCAAGAGGTAAGCTCTATGTTTATGGGGTTCGCTCCTACTTTGTGTTCCGCCATAGTGTACGGACTGTGGTCGGGTTGTATGATATGTATGAGATATATTATATAGATGCATTCATATAGAGCTATATGATAATATGATATGGTTTGTTTTGATGTGTTTACTTTGATGTGTTAATATGATATGTTTTGTTATGATATGACTTCTGTAATATGATTTATGTAACAATATCTGGCCATTGATTGTATAGTACCCGGATGTTCGCTTTAGGGTCCTCCCTCGGGACTGATGGTGTACGCCTCTGATATGTTCTGGTTCCGCTTTGGGGTCCTCCCTCGGGAACACGTGCGTTAATTTCCGCTTGGGGTCCTCCCTTGGGAATGACTGCGTACGCCTCTGATATGTTCTGGTTCCGCTTTGGGGTCCTCCCTCGGGAACACGTGCGTTGATTTCCGCTTGGGGTCCTCCCTTGGGAATGACTGCGTACGCCTCTGATATGTTCTGGTTCCGCTTTGGGGTCCTCCCTCGGGAACACGTGCGTTGATTTCCGCTTGGGGTCCTCCCTTCGGAATGACTGCGTACGCCTCTGATATGTTCTGGTTCCGCTTGGGGTCCTCCCTTGGGAATAACTGCGTACGTTTCTGATAAGATATGTGTATATGTTTTGTTTGGTTATGATATTTGATTATATGACATGTTTTATGGGATATGTATGATGATTTTGTAAATGATATTTGTTACGAACGTTGATTTCCGCTTGGGGTCATTCCTTGGGAACAATTGCGTACATCTCTGATATAACACGTTTTGTTCTGATGTGAGTATTGTGA